TTAGAGTTACTCGCTACCTTTTAGAAATTAAAATTAACTAGTATAATAACTAAATTACACTTAGCTAACTCTTATATACCTATAAAGTTCTTTAGCGCTTTAAGATATTATTCTCTAATAGATAGAAAACCTCTCTTAATCTAAACTTAATCTCTGCTCGCTCTTTAGCTAACTCTGCTATTAACCTAATTAATAAGAAGCGTTGCTAGTTCTACTAGTAACTTACAGAATCTAGCAACTACCTTATTATTAGTACTAGGCCTAACCTAGCTTACACTAATGTACTACTTAGAACATATAATTCTAACTCTATAGATTTACACTACTATATTACACTCTAGTTATTATAGTACATCTAATATTCTAAGAATTATGTTCTTATCTTTAAGTATCTAAACCTAATACTAGTAATTTAGAAAGTTAAGATCTACTACAACGCCTCTTAGAGATTAGATCCTAATAACGCTAAATTCTTCTATAGGTATATTCTCTAGATTAATAGAAGTATAATCTTCTAGTCTTTTAAGCGTTAAGCGTTTATAGCTAAATCTACTTGTAAAGCTAAGTATATAGCATGTTTCTACGCTGCTGCTTACCTAGTTTAGACTTGTTATGCACTCTTAGAGCTCTTTAGATCTTTACTAAGCTTTAAGTTTATTCTTGCGAGCAATAATTAAGCTACTATTATTCTAGCGAAGGACTAATAGATCTCTGCACGCTTAAAGCACATTGCTATTTATTATTACTTTGTAAGAGAGAAGTATCTTAAGGGGGAATTTAAGATTAAGTATATTAGTTCTGTATCTAATGTTGCTAATGTTTGCACAAAGGGACTGCCGCTACCGCTGTTAGAGAGCATAAAGGGGATAATAGGTCTACATTAACTACACTATCAGATTATCGCGGAGGACTGTTGTAAGGAGCGATCACATAATAGAGTAGGTGCTCCTAGGCTAGCGTTAGCGTATATACTCAGAACCTTCCATAGTTTCAATTCATCACTTCTACACTCAACAATCGTTACCTTCCGCATACCAATGCCACGTTCACGCAGCGATATGGTAAATATAACACTGCTATCTACGTTTACAGCCTAAGCTTACCTTTTTGTACAGTTTTCGATTCGTCATACTACAAGCCTGGAGGGCCGGTATTCCTCTACATTGGCGGGGAGACGAGCGTAGAGTCGCGTTTCTCTAACTTACAGACTGGAAGTAAGTCATCACAACGAAACACAGTCGATCAGTCTTCCCGGGTGGCTAACCATCTTCTCCAGTCATTCAGATACTCATGGAAAAGTTCAATGGCCTTGGTGTGATTCTCGAGAATCGTTACTACGGCGAAAGCTATCCTTACAACTCTAGTACGACGGATGAGCTGCGGTTCTTGACTACAGAGCAGAGTAAGTGACGGCTGTAATTTCGATGATCATATGTTCTGACGTGCTGTAGCTATTGCCGATAACGCCTACTTCAGACAGCATGCTACCTTTCCAGGTATCAACGCCACTTTGAGCAGCGCCGACACTCCATGGATCATGTACGGCGGTTCTCTTGCTGGTGCTCACACCGCATTCACGATGAAGACATACAACGATGTGTTTGCTGGAGGTATCGGAAGCAGTGCCACTATCCAAGCTTTGCTCGAGTACCCTCAGTGGTACAATCCCATCATGAAATTTGGCCCCGCAGACTGCGTTTCCAGGATCGTCGACATCGTTGATAAGATTGACGAGCTCATCTGGAGCGGAAACAAGGACGGCATCCAGCAGCTTAAGGACATCTTTGGTCTTGGAGCCCTGCAAGATCTCAGAGACTTTGCGATGACAATTGCGTTCCCGATTGGTGGTCCCATGAACTATCCGACCAACACTTGGCAAGAGCTCAGTAAGTAACTGCGTTCCACTATTCGGTGATAGAACAGCAACTGATATCTTAAAACCAGACTGGTCCGACCGCTACGGCTCAAAAGACTTCTTTAGCTTCTGCGGCAATGTAACGCAAATCAATCCACCAGCAAACATCAGTAGCGTCGACATGGCGCTTTCCAAGTACACCAATGGCGAGCCTTGGACTGGATTAGGTGGATATGCCGACTACGTCAAGAAGACGCTCATCCCAACCTGCGAGAGTGGCCGGATCGACAGCACAGACTCCGGTTGCTTCGGCACCCAAAACCAGACATACTACGCCGACCCCACAAACGGAGCAGCGCGCTCATACCTCTACTCAACCTGTTCCGAGTCTGGCGGTTACCAAGTGGCGCCCACAAACGGCCCCTCCCTCATCTCTCGCGTCCTCCAAATCGACTACACCCAGCAATGGTGCACCTGGGCCTTCCCACCCGGCGAGCACAACAGCATCCCCGCCACTCCCGCGTTGCACTACTACAACAAATACGGAGGCTGGGATCTCCAAGCTGAGAACCTTGCTCTTATCGACGGAAACACAGATGTCTGGCTCGACCTGTGCTACCATTCAAACTTGGCGGCTCAGCCCAGGATCAGCAGCGATAAGTATCCGAGTTATCTTATCGCGGGAGCCGGACATCATTGGGATAGCTATGGGATTAAGAACGTCAGCGCTGAGCCGAACTTTATCAGAGAGGCGCATTATTGGGAGGAGAGGACTGTGAGTCGATTCTTGCAGTTCTGGGCGGAGAAGGAGCATTAGGTTGAGACGAGCTGAACATAGGTCTTTTGCATGAGAACTGCGTACTATCTAGAAGCTGTGCAGGTCGATATCAATGACCCCCACTTTCTTCTGAGGCGCTTGGGCGAACGCGGGGTAGTCGAGGACCCTGAAAATGTGACTTGACAGGGGACTCCGCGCTTTTGCATGTGATGCGCCGCGGATACAACCTTATTTTGCGAGTCTTATGGTGCTTAAGTCATCTTCCAGATTTCAACATAACAACAGTCATTGATGCTCGCCATTCCAGCCTGTTGGCGATGTAGAATGATGCGTGCGCGTTTCAATATCGGTGTTTGCCACTGTGGGTCGCCAGGGGCGCGCTAAGTGGCTTTTGTCACCGCTTGGCTTCATCAAACAGCAGCCTCATAGCTCTTTGCTACACCACCATGCGTTTGTGCCATTGACCCTTACCACAGTCTTTGAATTTGTCGATTCAGTCCTTCCTTTCCAGCACTGCACAGTGCTTGTTTCCTGTTCGTTCTAGCGGGCGCTAGCCGTTGCTATCGTTATCGACACATTGCGACAACACCAGCATCGAGCGTGTCAAATCATCAACGGAATGGGCAAACTGGCTTTTCCGCTCGACAAAGAGCTCACGGGGCCGGATAGGGTTGTTCTGAATATACTGCAGAAGGAGTACGAGCTGCATGAGGCCAAGCCTGCAGAATCATCGACAGATGCAGCGGAGGACTCTGATGACTCGGGTATTAAGCATTCTGAGATTGTGACGCCGTCACCAGAGGGTCAGTACTCACTTCGGTCGATAATCAATGTCTCGGAATCATGCAATATCGACATGCGCTTCTGATGCGACCAATGACTAACCTTATTTAGATCTACAAGACCAGGAGCAACAGGCGATTGCTTATCTCAAGAAGCTTAATGACCCCAAATCCGACAGCTTCGAGACCAGTGTTTTCAGCTCTGTGGATGAACCCGACATCAAGAATCCTTTTCTTCGCCAATGGATCATTGACCCTTACATCCAATGGGCGAAGAAGGTTGTTCGAGTCGAGACCGACGTTATCATGGTCACGCATCTGCTGCTCTACTTCTGCACCAGCATTCCGTCAGCCGCATACTTGTACATCAATTTCCATTGGTGGCACGCTGTCCTCCATTGCGTCATGCAGGGCTACTACATGGGAGCGTACACTCTCCTAAAACACCAGCATATCCATATGCGTGGTGTCCTCAGCAAGAAGTATGACTTTGTAGATCGGCTGTTCCCATACATTCTCGACCCAATGATGGGTCACACATGGAACTCGTACTACTATCACCACGTCAAGCATCACCATGTTGAAGGCAACGGACCTAACGACCTTTCTTCTACGATTCGCTACCAGAGGGACAGCGTTTGGGACTTTGCGCAATACGTCGGTCGGTTCTACTTTCTGATCTGGCTCGATCTGCCGATGTACTTCATGCGTACTCGCAAGCCTAATCTGGCGCTTCAGGCTGCTGGATGCGAGATCGGCAACTACATCTTTCTGTACCTGATGTACAGCTTTGTCAACGCCCGTGCGACGACATTCGTGTTCTTGATCCCTCTCGCTTTCATGCGCTTGGCTTTGATGACCGGCAACTGGGGGCAACATGCTTTCGTAGACGAGGTCGAGCCGGACTCTGACTTCAGGTCGAGCATCACCCTCATCGATGTACCTGTAAGTTGACATTCATCCGGTTTTGCCACTTTCGAATATTACGCTTACGTTATGATAGAGCAACCGATACTGTTATAATGATGGCTATCACACCTCTCATCACCTCAACCCGCTCCGCCACTGGCGCGAGCACCCAGTTGCCTTCCTGTCGCAGAAGAAGCAGTACTCTGACGAACAAGCAATTGTCTTTTACAACATTGACTACTTCTTCCTTACAGTCAATCTGTTGAGGAAGAATTACGAGCATATCGCCAAATGTCTTGTACCCATGGGCGATCAGATGAAGCTTACGCTTGACGAGAAGGTCGAAATGTTGAAGCGCAAGACACGGAAGTTTACTGAGGAAGAGATCGCAGAAAAATGGGGCAAGCAGTATGCTAAGTTGAAGTAGGGGTAGATTATAATGGTTGGTAGATGTATATAATTCTTTTACGCGTTCAGGAACCATCACCGCTCGGTGTCGATGACACGACAGATGTGAAGGCATCACGACATTCTGTCGCTCTTGCTCTGTGAACCCATGTGCTAGCGTGCAGCACCTGCCCCGGCATGTTCGCTCATCATATCATTCGATGTTGGAGCCGATCACTATCCATCGTCGCAACAACACCCTACACCCATCACTACTCCACTTCCAGCAATGGCGAACTCCGGGAGACTACCTTTCGATCAGAGCTTATTCGTCGCGACACCCAACGCGATTTATTTGAGATCGCAGCTCGCCCGGAAGAAGCTGTTCGAGTGCGAGACCGCTAACGGCATAGTCAACGCTCGTGCCTCAAAAGACAACAGTAGTCTCTTTGCTGTAGCAGATGGGCAGGTCGTGATACTACACGACGCCACTCGAAGCCGAGACAGGAAATACAAACTGAAGAACGGCGATGTATGGCATGCTCACGGATAAAATCAGGTTCATTAACTGACACTAGCATAGGGCGAGCCGCGCCTTCTTCTGTTCTCACCCGACTCGCGCATCCTCTACTTCACGACAACACTGAGCAACTCGGTTCAAGCATATTCCATACCAAACGACGAGCTTCTGCCTTCCCTGCCATCACATCCGTCTCCACCGAGCGCGATAGCAATATCCAGTAACGGCACCGTCCTCCTTTCAGCCTCTCCGAACCCACCAACAATTTACCTCCAAGACCAACGATGGGGACGCAGCGCAGCGGTGAACTTTCGCCCAACAGACGCTCGTTCGGCTGCTACGTGTGCTGCGTTTCAACAGCCAGACGGTCCTGCACAGCTGTCGTACACCAACTTCGTGATTGGGTTTCAAGACGGGCTATTGGCGATGTACCGCCTGTTTCTACCTTCACTGCGAAAACGGTCCGAAGACTCGCGTGTACATCAACCGCAATTCTTCCAGTTACAGCCCGTACGAGTCGGTGTCATCAAAAAGCTTCATAAGCCGGCCATGGGCGGTATGCTGGCAGCGGAGTTTCTACCAGGCTACAAGTCGCGGGTTGTTAGCATTAGGCATGATGGAAAATGTCGACTTGTCGACTTTGAAGGAGGTGGGAAGATACTGCGGACATAGCATGTCTCGGGCCCGGCTAACTGTCTGTCTGTTTCAGCGCATGGCCCGGTACGCTCGGAAGGTCGGGCAGATGGGGCGGTGTTATTGAGTGGTGATGCGACAGAAGATGTTGGAGAGGTATATGAGGGCGTTGAGACTCTGATCGCAATCGGTACACAGGCTGGAAAAGTTCTCATTTTCAACATCCTGGGCCTACTGATACATGAAATCGCACTGGGAGTTTCTGTTACAGCCGTCGAATGGGTCGGCGATATGACGGCACCTTCTCTCCTCCCGATTCGCGGATCGTCACTGTCCCCCGAGCCTCGTCCGGTTGTCGATATTGTCGGAGTAGAGCAACCGACATCCTCGGATGAGGGGACAGGCACTGTCAAGAAGATTGCATCGTCTCATAAGCAAGCTGTGACAAGGAAGTCAATCCCCATGCGATCTCCACCAGATCTGTTCTCGGATGAACCAAGAGAGCCCAAATCCAGAGTTCCTAGTCGGAGAACTTCAGATGTGTTGCGAGGCTCACCCCTACGCGTCGAGCGAGCGCGCGAAAGACCCGTAAAGAAGGCTTTGGTGCGACCGCGAGTCTCCATTGAGACCTTTGAATCGCCTCCAGGCCCTTCTTCTAGTGGCGTCCCCAATGCCAAAGTAACTCAGTCCTCAACTGGAACCGACCCTCCAATACAAGAAAGTCGGAGATGGCCACGGGTATACCAGGCACCAAACGTGCGAACACCTCTAAGAGCACACCAATTCTCCGCTTCGCATAGATCTGCCAGCTCGTCTCCAGAGTCCGAATTCTCAGATGAAGACCAGGAATGGTTCACACCTCCCTCTACGCGAAGATGCAAAGGGAAAGCTCCAAGGCGTGACCTGAGTCCAGAACCATCACTGACTGTGCCGATCCTCGCGTCCATGAGCCCGACGCCCTTTTCCAAAACCTCATCTACTGGATTGGATCCAACCAACCGTAACTATTCTCGTCCGAGGCCCTGCATAGTGGAGGAACGGTCCGGTCGACACCAAGAAGCGATGGCGGAAGGATCGAGAAGCTCAGTGGTCGTGCCGAAGGCCGCTGGACGCCATGTCACCATCCTCGACCCAGAATTATCATCGCCTTTCGATAGCCCCAGCAGTCTGTACTCGCGGGCCACTGCGTCGATGTTGGAGAGACTCCCGGTAGGGAAGACAGAAGAGCATGGTGCTGACCAGCGACCTGCTCTCCCAGCAGGACCTAAGACTCCAGTGTTGAAACCCGCGCTTGTCAACGTCGATCCAGATCCAGTACTGTCCAGCAGCGTATGCTCATCTTCAACGCCAACGACGAGTGGAACAAAGGTTACAGCTTCAGATCAGAGGTTCATCGACATTGCAGGCTCGAGCATGTTGAAGACAACGCCGTATACTCCACCGAGCCGCGAAGTCGCCTCCATCGCAGAATGCTCATCTTCGTCTTCGCTCGACATCATTTACTCTCTTCCATGCCGACCAAAGGCCGAGATTCCCTTTGTGCAAAACCACAGCCCTCGCAATCCGGCGACTGCAATACATCGGCAGCTCACGCCGAATTCGCTCGACACGCGAGCGGATTCCCCGAGCAGTGTGTACTCCCGCTCCATTTCCGGCATGACCAAAGAGGGAAACCCTGTCAATGCTGTCATTGAAGATACCGATCAGTCAGCATCGTCAAATGCGCCCTGGACATGGCAACATCAACTTAGTATCCACGCGCTAGGTACGCCGATGTCTACCAGCTCGCCGACTAGTCTGTACTCGCGGCCTACACCTCGTATGTTTCTGGATCGTTCACATGCTGTTGACGGGCCGCCCGCAGAGAAGGCAAAAAGTGTCGTGTCAGGTGCTGCGACTGCCAAAGCAAGGACGGTGGCGGAGGAAATGACGTGTTTAGCTGAAGATCAAAGGACGCTGAGACAGGAAGTAGCGGCGTTGCGGGAGGAGTATCGCGTGCTCAAGGGTGTGTTGCTGAAGCCGAAGGTATGAGGTGTGCGGGTGTTGTTGTGCGGCGTTTCCTTCTCCTATGTCCTCATGTTCTTGCCCTTCCTTTTATCGCATCCTCGTAGCGTAGCGAACAACACAACCAGTCCTCAAGTCATTCTTGGACCTCATATCTTAAATCCACCCTCCCTGCCCCCAAACGCCCGTCCTCTTCTTCCCCTCCGCCCCACCTTGACCACTACCCCCACTCATCAACTTCCTCTCCTCGTCTTCCGCGTAAATACTTCTCACACTGCCCCTAACACTGCTTCTCTTCCCGCCACTGCTTCCATATGCAGACCCAGCATGTCCTCCACCTCGCCGGGTGATCTGAGTATCCTGCTCGACAACCGCCTTCGCCATCTTCCACAGCATCCACGTCTGACACGATATCAACACCAGCACGAGTAAAAGGACGATGAGAATGGCGAATGCGATGAAGAGGAAAAGTACGGTTTCGTCGTCTCGAGGAGGAGGACCAGAAGGAGCGAAGCTTTTGCTACCCATGTTCGCTGGATTGTAGGTTTGCTTGCCGTACGATGCCGTCGGATGACGATGATGATGATGATGATGATGATGATGCAAGAAAGAAAAGAGGTAGCCAAGGAGAACCATTGATTAAATGAGGTGCCTGGCTCGGGACTTTAGCAAACACCGATCATGGGTTGGGCGCGGACCGATTTGAGGGCAACGTAACGCTGTTGCAGATCTGTTTCATGGATACGAGGACAGATCGGGAAGATCCATGCTGACAGTTCGCGTTCACTCGGGCCCACGCCAAGGTCTAGACCAACCACGGAAGCAAGGATGCGAAGCAAGGGAGGGTTTTGGAGAATGATGGTATTGATGAACAAATAGAAAAATCTGGTACTAGATACAAAGAGGTCATTACACTACTTCTTTTCGCCGTTACCGTAACTGTAACCCAGTGACACCGTGCGCTATGCAATACAACCGCGATATCGTTACCGCCGTTCTGTCCTACCAAACAAAGCGATGAAGCCAAGCCGTCGAGTCGTGAGGTAGCAATGCCAGTGCCGGGTACTTTCATGACAAATGAAACAATCTGTTGCCCAAAGTGATGTGTCCAAAAAAGGTGTGAAGGAGAATAAGACAAGAAAGAAATGACCGTCCTGCAGTGACAGCAACAAGATAACCCCCAAATCTTCAAACGTCGTCGTGCGAATCCAGATGGCAAGTCGCAGCAATCTATGCAGCAAGCGGCTCCTCTCCGTTGAGCTCGTCATCCTCAACGTTCTCATCAACGCCGAAGCCGGAATCCCACTGGCGCTTGGTCGTCTTCTTCTTGCCCTTCTTTCCGATCTTGACCTTTTCGCTGACCTTGGACACCTTGCCAGTGGCGACACGGTGAAGATCAACGCCTTGAGTCTTGACTTCAATGCGCTTAAGCTTCATCTCCTGGATGGCCTGGAGAGCGTCCTGGTTGCGGCGCTTCAGGTCGTCAGCAAGACGCTCGTTCTGCTCCTGAAGTTGACGTTGCGAGATTGTGAGGGCGTCGATTGTAGCACGGGTGTCCTCCTCGGCGAGGCGGAAGCGCTCCTTCATCTCTTCGATCTGAGCTTCGAGGAGAACGATGGTCTCAAGACGAGCATCACCAAGAAGACGCATCTCTGTGAGCTCGGTTGTGCGCTCCTCAATCATCTCCTCGTACTCTGTGCTGCGCTTCGCAGACGCGTCTTGGAGGCTCCTGATGGTGGCTTCTTGTGTCTTGATGACAGTGTTGAGGGAGTCGACTTCAGTGGCGTGAGCGCCGACGATGTTCAATAGCTCATTAGCCTCGGCCTCAACACGTCTTGAAAGGGAAAGGTTCTCCTTGCGGTAACCCTCGTTCTCGCCCTTCTGGAGAGCAAGCTCATCCTCAAGGCTGTCGATCTTGCCCTTGAGAGCGGTTGTGTCCTCCAGGTAGATGCGCTCCTTCTCAGTGACCTGGTCGAAGAGATCGTTGATCTCGGCTTGCTGTCGCTGGATCTGGTTGTTGAGGTCCGTGATGTTGGCCTGGAGCGACGTGATGGTGGAGTTGGTGGAGTTCTCCAGCGCGACGTACTTGTTCTTCAGGTCGTTCAGCTGAGTAGCGAGGTCGGCAACTTGAACGTCACGATCTTGCTCGAGCTGGTCGCGGGCGTCTGTCATGTCGGCCAGATTGTTCTCCAGTGTCGCAAGATCGCTCTCGAGACCAATGATCTGCTGTTCCAGCTGGGTGATGGTGTTCTCCTTTGTCTGACGGAGTTGGGACTCAGCAGCAAGCTGCTCGTTGAGATCCTGCTCGCGCTCATCGGCCTCTTCTGAAAGGTCAGCAATGGCGTTCTCCTTCTCCTGCTGGAGTTGGAACAGCTTGAGTCGCAGCTCGTTAGCCTGGAGACCAGTGTCGTGAAGACGGGTGTTGAGATCTTCGATCTTGTCATTCGCCTCGTCGAGATCAGCTTCAGTCTTCTCGCGCTGAGCCCGCTCGGAAGCCAGGTTCTCGCGGGTATCGGCAAGCTGCTCCCTGAGCTCAGTGATGGTCTCGTTCAGGTTCTCGATGGTGTTGGCGTGCTGGTACACCTGCTCGATTTGCTCATCACGCTCGCCTTCGGCAGACTCGCGGGCGGCAGTCTGGGCAGCTAGACGCTCCCTCAGTGTAGCCATGTCGGTGGTGATGTTATCAACATCGGTCTCCATGCGTGTGATGCTATCCTCCAACTCCTCGATGTAGGTATTCTTTTGTGCGACGTCAGCCTCTGCGGCATCGCGGCCCTCCTGCTCGATGCCGAGATCAGTCTCCAGAGCTTGGATGCGCTCGGTGTATTCCTGTTCCATGCGAGCGATCGTCTCGTGGTGGGTTGTCTCGAACTCCGCTGCGGTGACGGTAACGGTGTCAAGGTCGACGCGGTACTTCTCGAGATCTTCACGTAGTTGTGCCAAGGAGTTGTCCTTCTCTTCGTTCTCGTCTTGCAGGCCAGCGATGTGACCATCTTGCTCGGCAAGCTGGCGCTCTTGTTCGGCCGACAGTGTGGTCAAGGCAGCGTTGCGCTCCTCGAGATCAAGGATGACGCGCGCCTTGTCTTCGTTCGCCTTGTCGAGAGTGAATACTTCGGATTCAAGCTGCTTCACGCGCTCCTCTGAGTCGCCAAGCAAGTCCAGAACACCCTCGTACTGTCGTCGGAGAAGCACTTCGGTCTTCTGGGAGCTGTTGATAAGAGTGAGCTTCTGCTTGAGCTCGTAGAAGATGCCACTGAAGAGCTCTGGGACCTTCTGAAGAAGCTGTTGGTTGGTAAGGCCAACAGTGGTACCGGGGAAGAACTTCTCGATTTCGGCGCGAAGGTCCTCGAATCCATGGCGCAATTCGGTGAGGATTTCGCGAGAGGAAGCACCAGCCTCGATGAAGCGGAGGTTCTGCAGCTCGATGGTAATTAGGCGCAGCGCACCTTGAGATTCGCCCAGGGCCTTGCTCATCTGCTTCAGCTCCCGCTCGTAGCGCTCGATAGCTTCGTCTTCAATCTTGTCCAGGATGATCTCCTCGCCTTCAGTCAGGCTGTCGCGGTTGAGCTGTGATACGGTCGGCAGAGACTCGAGTGTCATCTGGCTAGAGATCTCCAGCGCGCGGGAGGAGTACTCGCCGGTGGGGGTTGTCACCATGTCGAGATCTTGCGACATGTTCAGCTCCTCGGGGTTGACCATGACCAGACCATCCTCGTCGTCGGACAGCTCAACTGGCTCGTTGTCGTCGCCGTTGTATAACGAAGACGCGCGCAGCTCGTCGATCTGCTGGCGGGCCTCGTCTAGCTCCACTTGCAGATCGTTGGCATCTGCGTCTTCGAGGTCGATCTCGCCAAGTCGGCGGGCCTCCAGACGGTACTCGAGGTCCTTGATCTTGTCGTCCTGCGCCTTCAGCTGGCGACGTAGCTCCAAGAACATCTTCTTGTCCTTCTTCTGGTGGTCCTCAAAGTCATTTACTTCTTGGCTCAAGTGGCTGCGGCGGAGGCGGCGACGGGCGCGGCCATCGAGGACTTGTGTGAGGGGCGCGAACTGGACGCGGTTGCCGTTGGTCTCGTCGACCTCGTCGACGCGTTCGATGTGAAGCTGAGCTGGCATAGACATGCGGGAGCGGCGGGTGTTGGTGAAGCGGCTGCGGGAGGCACCGACGCGGTCGAGATGGGGAGTCAGGCCAGGGAGGGGTTGTGTAGAGGCAGGGCGGTTGAACATGAGCTCGTCCTCGTCCTCGTCGACGGCGACAGGAGGCTCCGAGTGTCGGCGGTTATAGCGGCGCGTGGTGGTGCTGCTCTGCTCGACATTGATGTTGTCTCCCTGCTGCGACCGCGAGAAGGACTGCTGGATCTCTTCGGCGATCTGGTCCTCGTCGTCGTCGGCCTGGACGCGCTTGCTGCGCTTCGTTTGCGAGAGCTCTGCCGAGGGCGACGCGGTTCGCTTTATGGCAGACGTCATGTCGTCGGTGGGTGTCTGGTTCTTGGACGGGCGGCCGCGCTTGCGTCGAGGAGCGTCACCGGGACCCTCGTGGTGGTGCTCAGATGGTAGGCCACTGAGGCGCGCCATGGTTGAGCGATTGGGCAGTTTTCGGGCTGCGGGTACCTTCTGGATGCGGTGTTAGACAACGGGAGCTTCCGGGCGGCGGCAGTGAATGGTCGCGACACGTGGTGCTGGAGCTGCGTACCTGGCCAAAATTTCGTCAACAGAGCAAGATCGTCAATCGGCCCGTGGCTGGCAACAGCGTGTGTTGCAGTTGGTACAAGCGGAAGGAGCGGAGGGCGCGGGTGTGGTGGGGTACGGGGAGAGACAGGGCCAAGTTTGTCTATATTCAAAAAATGGTTGACGGGCGCCTGTTGTGGTGGGCGAAATGGGGTGGTTGGGTGGAGGCTAGCACCTTTGCTACGTCAATGCGAGCTTGCGGTGAGTCGAGCCGCGAGTGGTCGAGCTTTCACGCTAACCCAGCCCTGACGTACACGCGACTACCGGCGCCCTCTACGCGTTTTCACCCACGGCCATCTCCCGTCTGAACTGAAACAGGCTGTGAACCGGTTTGTTGTATGTGAACTACCACCCCCATCAGCCACTGTCCACTCATCATACCATGCGCACAACGTCACCGTAAGCCATTCACGTAGTACAGGACGCGTTTGAGCCTCTAGTCCGCCGATCGTCATTCTTCTAGACCTGCAGCAGCTGTCAGGGCAACACGGCCCTGGCGTGCATCACGATGCTTTTGAGGCGCATGCCGATGCAATGGATCTCCCCACGCATTCCCCGATGTCCAGCCATCTTCGGTACCATGCGCTGTCACTTCTTCAATAAGAAGTCGCTTTGGAAAAACAACCCCTTCGTTGCGCTCGCAACCCCATACAACCCGCCAAGTGGCCATGTATCCCAAAACTGGCGGTATGTCCATTCATTCCACGACTCCGTCTTCATCACGCTTTTCCCTCCGGCAACGCCTTGCAGATCGACTTTCACTTTATCGTAAACACTTGGCAAGCTCTCGGCGTGGTACTTTCTCCGCAGGTCCATGTACTTCTTCTCGTCGTAGATATCCCAGAACTCTTGCTCCGTGTAATACGCATGCGCGTACAAACACTTCATGCCACCTAGCTCTGTGACTTTTGCTTCAAAGTCTCGGTTCAGCTTGATGAACTCATGGGCGTCGCCAGGTCCCATGTCCCAAATTCCCACGTCGAGGAGGATATCGTCTTTGATGTTGTTACCTTGGGAGAAGCTACGCTCTCCACGAGGCGCCGACTTCACTGGACACAGCCAGAGCGGCCAGATACCCGTCCTTTCGTCAGTCCATCGAACGAACTCTTCCGCCGCGTCGTATGGTACACCGTAATCTTGGATGATAGTTCGGGATGCGAGACCTGAGCGATGCAGAGCGTGTACCATGGTCCGAGAGTACATGAAAGGATCTAGTAGAAAGCGCGTGAGACGATTGAACGGCGTAACGAAGTATTTGAACGCGCGCAGTCCTGACCAGAAGACGCCTCTGTCGTAGCGGAACAGATAGGACTGAACAGGCACAAGCTCCTTGTATGTTGTTTTCTCGTCCTGGGCCCGCTTCAGAATGTCCTCTGCATGCATGTATAGCCAGGGGTCTGTCGCTTTGTCGAAACTCTGAATCCTTCTATTCATTGGAGCATCATGACCATCTGTCAGGCGACCGATCATAACCACGCCACTCGTCATCGAATACAGGATGCCATCCATGTATTCGACCTCGAGATCATCTTGGTATCGTCGAAATTGCTCGACGGCCTCATTTGTTGAGCGAACTGGAATGTATTCCAACTCAACGTAGCGACGTGCGTCAATGAGCTCCATTTTGAGTAGGGTAATGACACCTAGACTTCCGCAACTCCCTGCTGCTGTGAAGAAGAGATCGCGGTTCTGTTCTGCCGATGCCCATACTACCTCGCCGTTTCCTAGGATAAGCTCAATGCCGGAAATGGTGCGATCGAACAATCCGTACTTATAGGAGCTGCTCTCGCCGCTGGTGCCAGCGAATCTGTCGATCTTAGTTAGCAGTTTTCCATGCCATGTAATTTGCTCAGACGTCTTCGGCTTTGTGTTCATCACTATGAACTTGATATGGGGCTCGAGTGACTACTGGGCTACGTCTTGTCGTTAATCACTCACCCGCCACCGACTGTAATGTTCGGGAGTTCCATGACGACTTTGGGCAGGAAACCTTTGGCCATTGTAGCTTCCACAAGTTTATCCATCGGCACGTTCGGCTCCACCAATACCGTCTTTTCAGTCTCATCAAACTGGAGTACATGGTTGAGTGAGCTGACATCGATAATCTGATTCCGATCACGAGACGATTTGCGTGTTGATAGTGTAGAACCATGGTAAATGCGGAATGGGGTCTTCGAAGCACTGAAGCGGGCGACTTGCGATGCCAGAGTCGCTACTGTAGAGTTATGAGTATCCATAGTGTGCGTGTAATGATGCAACGAGATGTAACGATGTTGTCGGGCGGTCCGAGGATGAAAGGAACATGGTGTGGCGTTGCTTTTGATGTATACATAAGCTGCAGGGCTGAGCCTTCTCCACTACCCGTTGGATCCTGCTAAAGCCAATATCTGACTATTCGCCCCGGACCAAAAGCCGCTCTTGTGTGGGTGTGGGGCGAAGGATCCGTATGCATTCCTCTTCATGATTTCAGCCATTGTAGATATTCAGGCGACGAGCTGTCATTAATGGTGCTCTAGAGAAACCATAATCGCGACCGTATGCGCGGGCGTCACCTTCCGCATCTTGGGTGATGGAATCGGGCGCCCCATAGGGACCGGAAGCGCGGAAGACGATCCACTCGCTAAGAACGCTGACGTACGGCGTTCGGGAAGGTTTTTCCACCCCCAAGGTTTTGGCTTGCGCATTGAATACGAAATACGACTCAGGCAGTAGCTGGCAGCTTTCAGCATATTGTGGTCGCGACCGCGATAGTAGGAAAGAAAGATTGGTGGTTCGATCTCGTGGATCCGCGGGCAGGTACGACCGCTACTAGCGCAGCCTCTTCAGCCTCATCTCGCAGCCACACATCACGCAGGAAAGCAACACCAATCGCATCGCTGCAGTCGGCTCCACACCATCTTCCAGATGGACAGTCACCGGGCTACTGTAGAGACAGTACGTTCTCGCATTCAGCATTTTTACCACAACAAGACCGCATTTCGTGTTTATCATGGTAGCACGAACAGCACCCGCCATGCTCATTTCGATCGAGATGCTATCGTGGACGTGAGCTCCCTCAACCACGTCCTATCTATCGACAGGGACAAAAGAACGGCGCTTGTCGAACCAAATGTCCCTATGGATGCCTTGGTCAAGGAAACCATGAAGGCGGGCCTGCTGCCTCCTGTGGTTATGGAGTTCCCAGGCATCACCGTAGGAGGAGGCTTCGTAGGCACAGCAGGAGAAAGTAGCAGCTTCAAGTACGGATTTTTCGATCGTACAGTGTTGAGCGTAGAAGTGGTTCTGGCGGATGGTACGCTTGTCACAGCATCCCAGGACGAGAATCAAGAACTGTTCGAAGGCTTGAGAGGTAGCTTCGGAACACTCGGTGTGCTCACGCTGGTGGAGATGCAGCTTGTTCCTCTTAAGAAGCTGGTTGAAGTTACTTACCATCCAACCTTTTCCTTCGAGAACGCGACAGATAAGATCCAGTACCATACTACCGACGAAAGGAACGATTACGTTGACGGAGTCCTGTTCTCCAAAGGTGCCGGAGTGGTAGTAACAGGGCGCTTCGTTGACAAAGACCGTACGCCCGACTTGCCGATTCAAAGATTCTCTAGACCATGGGACGAGTGGTTCTGGATACGCGCAAAGAAGCTTGCCGCAAAAGGCATCATCACGAAAGAGCTTGTCCCTGTGGAAGACTACCTGTTTCGCTATGATCGAGGAGCATTCTGGATGGGAATGTATGCTTACAAGCAGTTCATGGTCCCTTTCATGTGGTTCACACGCTTCTTGCTGGACTACTTCATGCACACCAGGATCATGTACCACGCATTACACGTGTCCGGATACACGGATCGATTCATAATCCACGACATCGCGTTCCCAGCCGCCAATACTGCGACTTTCTTGCAGTATTCGGACCAGGCTTTCAACATATATCCGCTCTGGTTGTGTCCGCTGCGGCAGGATGGTAGAAGTTCGATGGGTCATCCCAAGCCGTTCGAAGGTCTTGGCAATGGGAAGGAGAATGGCGTTTATGACGGCAAATACATCAGCGTTGGTATCTGGGGCCCGTACTCTTCCAACGAGACTGAGTACGTCCGCGCAAATCGTGAGATCGAAGCAAAGATGCGCGAGCTGGGTGGACTGAAGTGGCTATACAGCCGAGTTTTCTACACAGAAAACGAATGGTGGCAAGTCTACGATAAGCGCGAGTATGATACGCTACGCAGCAAGTACAATGCAGATTCCCTGCCAACGATATGGGACAAGGTCAAAGACCGAGGAAGAAAGGAAGAGTTCGGCCCAGGCCTGAAAGGTATGCTGAAACGCATCGTGAAGAGCAACGCTTTCTTAAGTGGACTCTATGGCATCTACAAGGCGGTCAAAGGTGGAGATTACATGTTGAAGAAAAAGGTTTCCTAGAGCCAAAGTAGTCAAGAATCAGCCGTGTAGTGCAGACATGTGGTAATGAGCAAGTCTTGAATAGTACAAAGCCCATAAGGGGTTAGCGGCGTCTTCGGGCTGCCGGAGACATCCTCGTGGAACATGAACTGAAATCTCCTCACGTTATCACCTCTCGACTACAGTACCTCATGCCCCGCCTCTCGCTGAAAACCATGATTTGATATTGCTGCTACCGGAGATAGCTGTTCTAGAAGAAGATGCGCGATCGTCACGGAAGCCTCGTTGCCGTCGCAGAGCGGGCCATGACGTTTAGGGGGCACGGCGCGCCTTCTGCGATCAAGGCCGAAGATTCCAAATTCTTAGCGCAAGTCAAACGATCAACACCACGGACACTGCGACCGTGCTCAATCACGACCCAAAGGCAATTATAATCGCGTCATTATCGACGATTT